TGCACTTGTGCTAAGAAATTTTACTCCAAATGAAAGTGTGTAGATTGAGATATGCCTCCTAAAAATCATTAACCAAAACTATTAAGCCACCAAGACCTTTTTAATATAATCAAGCACCTTAGATGAATTTAGCTTCCAAATCAAATAAAATTTGTGCTTTTAAAAAGCTTACAATTAAAACTATATTATTCCAAAATTTTAGCTCCAAAAATGATCTAAAAAAGATGTAAGAATTGATCAAACTTCTGAATCTTAAAACCTTAAGGTCAAAACCCTCGAACCTTCAAAAATTCACAATTTTTTTTTCTAAACTCCAAATGGAATAATTTTTTTCTTGATAGAAAGCTTATAATCAAAAAAAATATTTTAATATTCTTAGAAACGTAAAAAAATAATAATAATAAAAAAAAACTTTAAAAAATTCTAGCACATCCAAAACTGCTACTTTTCTACAAGTAAAATTAATTATCTTTCAAATAATTTTAGTGCACTTAAATGAAGTATATTAGGGCAATGCAGCACTGTCAAATTTACCATGCATGTTGGAGAAACTTAGGAGATGCAATGAATATACTTGCTAATATTTGATCATAAGTACTATTAGTTGTTGTTAATACAAGAAGTGATTGTTTACCTCCAATAAATGGGTGGTGACAAAAAAAAAATACATATCTTAATTAGAAAAGTGTTTCCTTAATAGGTACATAAATAACTTTTTCTTACAGAATCAAACTTAATCAATAAAATTTAAAATAAACTTTGTCATAATTTTTTGAAAGTTTTGTATTCTTCCATCTATATGAGCTCATCTTTTGATTAGTAGTACCACAAGACATTATTATTACAAATTTAACTTCTTTATTTGATATACGAGCTCATCTCTTGATTAGTAGTACTACAAGATATTATTATTACAAATTTAATTTCTTTATTTGAACCTTTTATATTATTAATATCAAATCTAATGATTATAGGCTTTATGACACAATATATTGGTGACATAAATCAACTGCAAGTAACATCTTACAATTATACTAAATATTAATATAATTCTATCTTTCATAGTCATGTACTTGCATTGAGGTCTTATAATAAATTTACATAAAGATCATAATTCACACATCAAATTGTAATAAAACTATTATAAAAGCTAAAATAACACTATTCTAATTGATAATTTATTAAACTTCTTAAGCAATATTTTTAATTAAGTAATTTAATTAGCTACATGTATTATCTAAATCCTTGTAAAAGTTCTTGTTATTCTCTTGAATTTGTTCTAATTAATATAAAAAATAATTAAATTCATTTAAGCAACTATCATTTTTTTTTTAAATTTTCATCTTTTTTTTTTTTTTTTGCATCAAAATTTATCCATGAGCAAAATTATTTTTACTAAACCTTTAGTATGGTTATCTTCGAAATTCTCATGCTTCTTAAGGTTGCAAAATTCCAAAAGAATTGTCTTGTTAAAAAAGTTGTCCATTTTAATACTTAAGAATAATTTTGGTAATTATACAATGATTCTTTGATGCTCATGATCCTAGTTGTAGATCAAGACAAAGATTAAGGTGATTTTAGAACTAATGTGTGGCTGAAATGCTATTGTATTATGTTGCTGTGTGATAACACAACTATATAGTGAAAAAAAAATATGGATATTATTATAAAAGAGCCTAGTAAAAAGATGTAGTAAAAAAATAAAGATAAAAGATAGAAACATAGTAAAAAATTTAATCTTAATATTGCCTTTTTATGAAAGGAACTTCTATTTACTTTGTAGAAGCATAAATGAGCCAAATCAAAATAAATTAGATAGTGTATTGGTGTGCTAATTATAAATGTGTATACAAATTTTGAGATCAATCAAACAATTAAATCAAAGTGTGTGAAAGTTTTTATGGATGAAGATCTCAGAAATTGGAGTTTGAAGATCAATGAATGTTTCTAAGATCTACAACAATCTATTAATTGGATTGAAGTAAAAAAAAATAAATGTGGATATTAAACTCAATTTGTCAATATTTACGTAAAATTTGAGAGTAATTCAATAGTTCAAGAAGGAAGTATTAGTACTAGAAGTTTAGCATTCAAGTTGGAGTAGGAAGCTACCCAACACCTGATTGGATTATCTTATATTTCTCTCAATTGGTAAGAGCAAATAATTTCATCTTTCTTGTGCTTGTTTTTAACTAAGACATTAAGAAGTGTGCAAATTTTGAGTTAATATCAATAGTTTGATCATTAGTTGTTGAGGTTCCAATTTGCTATAGGATTTGGTTTAAGATTTTTCTATTGTTTGGTTAGGGCTTAGAATTTGGTCTAGGATTTGGTTAGGATTAGGATTTACTTGGAATTTGATTTAGAACTTGAGTAAATATTGATTAAGGTTTATCTAGGATTTGTTTAGGATTTAAGATTTTACTAGGTTTTATTAGAGCTTGAGAAAAGATTTTATTAAGGTTCAATTAAGGTTTCAATTAAGATTATATTAGTATTTTTATTTTTAATATTTCTTTATCATTCTTTATTTTTTAAAGTATTTCTATATATAATATTTATTTAAGATTATTTTTATTTATTTAAAGATTTATTTTTATATTTTTTTTAGATTAGTTTGAGACCTCTTTGTGTTTTTTTTTATAACTTATTTTAAATTCATTTTGGATTGGTCAAATTTTGATTAAGATTATTAAGTTTTATATAAGATTATTTAAAATTCTATTAGACTTATTAGGATTGTTGTTGCATTTCTACTTACCTTTCATAGCTAGGTGCTTAGTGCGTTCTCAAGCAAGAATACACATAATACAATATAAGTGGTGAACTTAACATAAAAGCTTGAAGTGGGAGCTATTGGAATTATTTATTATTTATTTTTATTTATTTAATGGATAACAAGAGCAAGAATTTTGAAGGAGCTATGGGAGGAGTTTTGAGTAGAATTGTTAGTAGAGTTTCTACTAAAGGACAAGATATGTATATGGATCCAAATATTTTAAATATGTTTCAAGCTTTTACATTATTTATGCAACAATCATTGTTTCCTATCATCTTTCCAATCAAGGAAGCCACCCTTTAATTCATCTTGCATGTATGTTTTAAAATTCTTTAAAAGTAAAAGATACAAAAGAATAAAAAGACTTGTTGAAGAAATAGGAGGTATATACGAGTTGCAATCTAAGTATTGTAGTCTAAATTATGTACCTATTGATGAATAAAAGGCATTATGTGGTGCATGAACCAAAGGAAATCATAACGGGCTTCTAAAGAGACAAACAAAGATAATAGACATAAAAGAGTGAAAAGCCTTAGAGCCAAAAGTAAGGGGCCAATCTAAAATAGTATCATTAAGTATCTATGGCACCATTGTGAAGAGCTACTATTTTTTAGAAGTCTTTATTTAAATATTCTAAATTGATTTCAATCTTAATTTAGTATTGAGAGATAGACTAGTATTATTATATTGGCAAAAATTTTATGTATCATTAAAACATTTAAATGTGTTGTCATTGTAGAACTAGCAAAAAATAATAGTATCTTCTTTAATCTATTCCAAAGGTTGGAAATATACACTTTTCTATTTTAATGTTGTGAAGATATTGCAATATCTGCCCAATACTTCATCATTATAAGGCGATCTTAGTTTGGAAAATAAAATATTTAGCATTGTAAGCTCCTTCATAGAATTCAAGATTGGTGAACCCATATTGTTATGATGCTATAATCGTAAGAAGAAAGAACACCAAGTTGGAAAAGAAAAAAAATATGCTAATATAAATTTCTTCTTTTTTAATCAAATTCTTCTATTTTAAAATAGAAAGAGCAAAAGAAAGGAGTCACAAAGCTAGACCTCATTTTTCTTTGGCTCAACTAAAGAAATCATCAAGCGAATAAACATTGTCTTTTTTTTTGGATGTATTAACTTCTTGGTTGGTACCAATGGAAGAATCTTGCTTTTATGAATATTAAAAATATTCTTTTAGTAGGATTGTTGTATTTATATACTTTAATATAGCGTTCTTCTTGACATTTTTAATTCTTCTAAAAACTATTCTTCTAATATTTGTAGACATTATTCTACCAATAGTTGTATTGGATAGAAGTCATTCATACTCAAACAAAATGAATGCTACCATAAACAGTTTTTTTTAGCAAAAAGTGTAAAAATTTAAGAAGATTTGTCTTTGCAAACACAAATTCTTATAAAATACATAGTAGAACAAATTTGATTTTGTAGCTATTGTATATTTGATAAATTTTAAGTAGAGTTGATAAAAAAAATGTATAAACTGAAAAAAGATTGTCTTAGGAAAGGAAACACAAAAATGCCTATAGTGGGATTTGAATCCATGCCTTTTTAGACCATTACTTTTAATTTATACTATTCCATAAATAATATATATTACAGCCAAAGAGCCCATATCTTATGAATAGTATGTATTTTGCTAATAAAAAATATACATTATTTGAGTTCATACTCTAATTACAAATATTAGTATAGGTAGCATATTCAACATTGTTCTTATTGTTTGTTTGATTACATTTCTATATGCATTGTTATTATTATTATTATTATAGTTGTTATTTGTTTGTTTGTATTTTTCTTACATATTCAATATTGTTGTAGTTTGTTTGTGTGTGTAGATGTATTTGTGATTGTTAAGTCTTCAATTAATTTCTATATTTAATCTAATTATTTTGTATCCTAATTTTAATTTATTTTTAGGTAGATTTTTTAATTCTTATTTTAATAGTTTTTATTTTTATTTTATTAATTATAATTTGATTGCTAAAAATTAATTTAGATAATAATATATACTTCTTTGTTGTATATCCTAAGCTATTTTCTAAAATAGATATTTTAAATCTTAAAAATATTCATTAAAAAAATAGTTTTTTTTTTAATATTATAATTTAATTTTAAAATTTAATCTTTTTAAGGATTGAATCTTATTGTTGAATCTTTAGGACTGACATTCCTCTTCAAATCATTGAAATGGTTGAAGCAAATCAAAACATGGATGTTTCAAAAAAATTAGTTGTGCAACTAAACAAATGGAAGTGTTTGGTGAACCAAAAATGCTTTTGCCAAAATCGCTAGAAAGGAAATGTAAAAGCAAACTAGTTTGGCACATAATCCATAAGCTTATTTGCACAACATCGAAGAGTTCAAACAATAATTTCTTCCTATAAACGTCACAATCCAGTAAGTTGTTGCCAAATTCTGCACGCATTTTTCACATTACACGTCCTTCACACAAGAGCACCAACTGAGTTCAATCCACTCTTCAATTGAGAATCTGAGTAGGTCTATTTGTAAGTAGATTTAGACATGGCCTTCTTGACAGCCTCAGCATAAGTGGAGTACTGGTACTTCAGCGTGTGCTCCATCAAGTCATACATCGATGTCTTGGGCTCCCATTCTGCACGCAATTTTGAGCTACCCATTAGGGTTTTTTCCAAAACAAATACACTAATAAGATTATACCAGAGAGTGTGTATGAAGTTGGCATTGAGTAACAAAAAGCAGTGAAAATGGAAATAGAGACTCTACCCAGCTGCTTCCTAACTTGGGTCATTTCAGGAATTCGTTTATCGCTGTCATCGTAACCCACGCCGTAGAATTCCTTGGAGGGGACGTCCACTGTGACTACCTCGGGTCTCGCAGTGCCGCTTATCTTGCAGTATAACTGAAAGTTAATAGAAGGGTGGGTTAGGGTTTGATAGCTTCCACACACCAGACTTGTGAGACTGTGCTGAGCTGAAATGAAAATGAATGGATTCTGGTGACTTACATCAGTCATCAGCTCAGCAAGCTCCTGGATGGTCACTTCGTTGTGCGGGTTGCCGACGTTGAAGATGTGGCCATTGGCTCTAGCAGGGTTTTCCTGGGGGACACCGTTAATATACGTTATTAATAGTGATGATGCCAAGATCTGAATCAATCAGTGAAATCATGGACTGTAGAGATGTGTGTTTTGGTGGAGTGATCGCGACTTACGATGATCTTTTGAACTGCTTCAATGGCGTCCTTGATGTAAATGAATGTGCGTTGAGACTTGCCCCCATCCACCAACTTCAAGGGCTCGCCCTTCATCAAGCTCTGCAGTTTTTGCCATCAGATCAAGTGGATAACCTCCACACCAATCATAATTTTGATCGGAAATGAGAAATTGAAATAAAAATAATTAAAAATAAAACAGATGGGCAAGCAGGAAGAGGAAGCGCCAAAGAAGTGCTGGCGAATTACATTGCTGAAGCATGCCAGGACACGAGGAATTGAGTCACTTGGTCCGTCAATGCCTGGTATGAAATCCATGCGTGGGCCAATCCAGTTGAATGGTCGAACTATGGTGAACTTCATTCCATTCTCAGCTCCTTCACCTACACGAAAATAAATGCTTCACCACTACAACGAACCAACACAATTGTGTGACAATGGCAGAAAACTAGACAACAAACCTAGAGTCAATTTACAGACCCCATATTTCAGTTCCACTCCCGAATTTAGAAACTTGAGCTAGGAGGAACAATGTCGGGATTAATTTCGTACCAAAGATGAGCCTCTCAATCAGCTGCTTGGCGCAAGCATATGACCACCTCTGCTTATGAATCGAACCATAAATACAGGCAGTCTCATCTTCTTTCAACACGGAGAAGGCAGGATCCGCCTTCAAAGGGTGGTCTCGAGGAAGAAAGCTGCCAATGGTTTTGCCATAGATTTCGCAAGTGGAGAAATGAATGAGGCGCTTACCATTATCCCTACACTGTTGCACCACGGGCAGGGCGTCTACAAAGTTGCTGTAGATGGTATCGAGAGGACGAGTATTGTAGTCAGCTGGCGTACAAATCGCAGCCAAGTTGATAACCTAATCAAAACCGTCATAATGCAAAGTAATCAATCACAAATCGAAAAAATGAAAATGAAAAAAGGCAACGTCCGTTCATCGCAAGTCATGTAATCGGCATACCCAACGCATTTCTGAGATGCATTCTCATTTGAATGGGTTTAACTGTTAAAGTTTCAGCCCTGCACTTTACAGGAAATACAAGCATTGCATGTATCCCCGCACTACCATTAACGCTGAAGCAATGGAAGCAATCCCATTTTCGAGCTCTGCAAGTTGTACAATGCAGCCTCACATTGGATCAAATGCTGCGCATACCAGATCGGAAACTTTGATAAGACCCTCGAGGCGTGTGTCGCTCTTGATGTTGATCTTGTAGAATTCAATGCGATCGCTCCACGGCTGCCCCAGCGCAAGCAGATGCTGGATCTTAACCCCACACACATCGATGGCCAACACGCTGTGTTTCGTCGTCTCCATGAGTTTCTCACAAAGGTGAGATCCAATGAACCCACCCGCCCCGATCATGCAAATCCTCAGGGGCTTGATCTCCTGCCCATCGAGGTTCAATCTCGCCGTCATCTTGACTCAACGTGCTGCACTCTGTCAAGGCACTCCCTCGCGCAACAACAGCAATGAGTTCGATGGGTCAAATGTAGGGGTAAAATGTCTTCACTGCGACAGCTTCAATGCAGTGAAATAACTGCAACGGTCTCCGTGAGTCGAGTTGCAATCCAAGGTCCGAAGAGGGGGCGAGAGCACTGAAACAAGAGCAGCACATGCAGCCGTAGAGAGTGAGAGAGAGCACTAGACCAGCGATCATGGGCCCAATTCTATGAGGTTAGTTCCAAATTCTGGAGCTGGGGCTGCAATGATCGTCCATACTCTGCCTACCAAGCTGTAGATAATTTTGTACGCACACACAACGTTGGATGAGAGAACCGTCTCAAGAATCTACATATGATCGGACAGTCGTTCAATTTTCCTGCCAATCGCTTCACTGGCATGTGACGAGTGGACCCCAAATCTAGCTAAGGACATCGCCGTTCAGACCCGCCGGATTGACTGAAGCAGGTGATCAAATTTCATTGCAGAGTAGCCTCGTCTAGGTTGACATGCCGCAATATAACTTCTGTGGCGCAAGTTCATACTTGTGTGTTGAGTTTTCTACCAATCTGGGATAGAGGCAAGCAGTGGCAGCCAACGACGGTTTTCGAGCGTCACCGGGGAGGAGACGTGAAGAAGTTTGGGTGCGACCAGCCAAGAACATGTTAGCTTACCAAAATCTATTGGCGGTTTACTGCTTATTGTCTTGGTTGTTGCTTGGGATTTTACCGTTTGTTGTAAATTTTGACTCATTGTACTGTTGACAGTTAGATCGTGAAAAACGTAGCCTGTGCTGTCTCGACGGATAGAATAGAACGAAAGGGGCGATGAATTGTTTGGGTGGTCTTCCTCTGCAGCCTTGACGGACAAACTACATATTTTTTTAGGCGTGTTTGTAGTAGAATTGCATGACACAGCACTCATCATTTTCTTTCACTTTCATCTCAAGACGGCGACTCACCTTCATATTTGTTGAGTTCCAAACCCAGTGAGCAGCGGCTTGAATCTATCCAAGTACACAACAGAACCATGGGTTTAGTAGATGCCAGGGGGTGGCGGTGGCGAAGCCTTTGTCCGATACGCATTGGCAAAGAGCAGAGTGGATTGAAACTATATAAACGAGGTCGGAGCGCATGAGATGCACGTCTTTGAATAAACCCAAAGACTGTAGCAAAGTAAAGATATACTATTCCACGGGGGTTGACACTTCGAACCAACCGGCATCCTACATGCCGGATACAACACCCTACAGTCAGACGTGGAACTCGACTTTTAGTTGAGTTATCTGGAATAGTTGCTTGTAAATCAGTTATTTTTATTACTGTGTGAAAATATTTTTACTTGCGATTATATATGAAAATATTCATAAGTGTGTGTTAGTAGCTTTTTGATGTTATACGTTATACTTAAAAAAACAAGAGATTTAACGGAAGGGGAAGACGTATTGACAAAATACATCTATAAATGTGAAAGTAGAATATCAACTAAAAACTGACAAGAGACGAGACAGGAGAAGTAAAATTAACAATTCCTTGTGACAGTGAAAGCTAAGCATTCGGATAAATGAACTAATGAATGAATGAGGAGCAAACCATTGCCAGGACCGACCATTGTAATGTATGCAATTATAGATTTTGTCAATCTTCATCATAAACTATATCAAGTGTATTAGGATCTATACACTTTTTAAAACTATATGAAGGTTTCAATCATAAAAAACATTAAACCTTACGCATCTACTTTTAATAATTTCACTACCACATAGATTTTACATTTTTTGTTATTTCTTAGAATTTTTCAAAGCTAAGAAGATACGTCTTTTAGCTTTGTAATCTAGTTATTTATTTATTTATTTTATAAAAGCTTAAATAAATTTTAAAAAATGAAGACAAGACCATCTTAATTACATCTTTTTTATAAGTGTAAATATAATTAACTACAATATAAATAATTTAATTTGATATAACTATAGATATATATATATATATATATATATATGTAGAGAGAGAGAGAGAGAGAGAGAGAGAGAGAGATTAAATTTCGTTCTAAAATTCTTTTCGATTATTTTTTGATATTTAGATAAATAGTATTTAATAAAAATTAAGATTTATTATATTTATCTATGAAAGGTTTTTTAATAAAGTTTAATACAAAATAAATTTATCCAATTAAAATTTTGAATTCCAACTTTAAGTAAATACATAGTAACTAAGCTTATATCTGGAGATTTTGGCTATTCATGTCAATTGACTAAATCTACTTTATTTATAAAAGATAAGTTGTTTAGGAATAATGGTGAGAATCTTATGTAAGAAATTATTTTATTTTTATGTATTTTTTAACCATTTTTATGTGTGGTAATTCAATCTAATTCTTTTTAATTTAATTTTAAAACCTCATTAGGGTTCTTCATGAATATATATATATATATATATATATATATGTTTTTAATCACTTCAAAAGAATATCAACAAAAAATTAAGATTTTCTCACAATTCCAGATATATATATATATATATATATATATATATATAATTTTTTTTTTCTAAAACCTTTCTTTGGTCTTTATACAAAACATGTAAATTATTCATCTATTATCTTCTTTAAAATTGGTAAAATTCAAAACACATTTAACTTTCTTTAGTCAAAATAACATGATTGTGTAGTTTCAAAAAACAACAACCAAGTACAACAACTAAATGAATAATAGAACTAAAAAAGTCCAATATGAAAATAAATCAGTGCATATCTAAAGCTTTTGATAGAAGAATATAAACAAATATATATATTAAAAATACATTGATTTAAATGTAATAGTTAAGGATAAAGGTAAAAAGAATTTACCATAGATGTTAATCACCACAATATATAACAATGACAACATTTGGATTATGGCAAGGGACATATAAGTGTATTTCATTATGTTCTTCCACTCTCAAGAACATTAACACTTAAATGTCGTACAGATCTCAAGACTAATGAGCCTTTCACATGGTTCTCTCCATTGCTCTTCCATCAATCAGTTGTAAGCACAACAGAAAAAAAAAAAAAAAAAAAAAAAGCAACTTATAGCATTCAGAGCCCATTGTGTTGAGCTAAATTGCATTCTCTGTTGTAAAATAACTTCGATTCTATAAACACCTAAAAGGACACTATCAATTTCATGAAAAAATGTACAAGACTACACAAATATCATGAAAAGACAGAAGACAGGGAAGGGCATATTTTCCTGAACGTCTGATCAGCTTGTTAACAATAAGACTGTTGGAAACAATTTTTTGAACAGAGGAACGAAGAGCTAAGAAAACTGAAAGTGACCATTTGCAGGTATCAAATTGGGGAAGACATAAAGCAACAAATCGTTAAGGGTAAGGAAAAATTTTGAGCTTCAGCGAAATAAGCTAGTCAGATGTAGGTTATGTCACAGGTTCCTCGAGGGTTGCATTCACAAGGTCGTTGATTCGAGGGTAAGAAGCTTTTTCGTCAAGCTGGTTTTGCGCCCATATTAACATCTTCAGCAAACTCGGTAATTTTGGATCTGCAAAAAACATTTCATAGACTAAAATGTTTGGTTGCCTACACGTTTTACTCCTAAATTAACTTGCTTTGTTGAAATTGGAACCTGACAACCGATCAACACTACCCTAACCCTCACTACTACTACTCAACAGTGCAAGTATGAACACTCCAACAAAAATATGATGGGTCCACAACTATACAGTTAACTTGTCCAAAACGTTCATATGATCATTGCTACCGACATTGGACCACAGAATAAATCTAAGTCTAAATTCAGGAAACAGAATCGATTGCAACAAGTCAGCGGAGAGCGAGAGAGCGACTTGACATGCCGGTATCTGACCTATTATCGTACTCGTTTTCATATGATTTCTTTAGAGAGTGTTCTAAAACCAAAGAAAACTGTGCAAAACTAAGTTCTAGGTAACACAGGATGTAGTAAGGAAATGAGTCATGTACTGAACAATAAGTTACTTACAGCTCTTGAGGTGAAACAGTTACCATCACAACAGTCGATATACTGCAATCTCTTACCTTTCTCATGGCTTTGGCTAGTGAGAATAGCAGCGTTCAATTCACTGGCTGTTTTTTGACGCTGTGCGTTGTCAAGAAGCTCTTTCACCTCCTTAACTGGGCAGGTCGAAGCGTCATCGAAGGCAAGTAAAGCTACAGTGCGTTCCAGCTCCTCCAAAAATGCATGCTGTATACATGAGGAACAGAACTCAATTAGCAACCTTGCATTTTAAACGGAACTACAGAACTCAACTACTTCAGCATGATCAAAGTAATACGAAGTAGAGGAAGTCAGACAGGGTGAAGATCCATTGGCTCCTGAAAAAAACAATAATCTACAAGCGTGCATCACAATCTACGTATACGAAGATTGAATATTGAAGTATCAACAATATTGCATATCGTCCGAAGCGCCTTTCTGTGTAAATCAGTTTATTTACCTTCTTTATGAGAAAGAAATGTTTGCAGCCGAAGCTGACTAATCTTGAAGCACATTTCTTTCTATAATCAACAGCAAAAAAACAGAAGAAACCAGAGTAATAATTTGACATACATTCTCTTCTCCCCGTGGGGCCAGCTCTTCTTGGGCAAACTCTAGAGCTTCTTCAACTTTGCCTGCGCGAATCAATTCAATAAGCCGTTGCTGTTGCAAGTGGAAAAATAGCTGTGGATTCGTGTCGAGAATCTGTTACCAGAACCATAGATTCACGAAGAAATATAAGACTTGCATACATGTTGAAAATTCACAGAGAGGCCCAGCAACAATATGTATTAGTGTATCAACAATGTTGTAGTAACTTGTGGATGTTTGAGAAAAACTGGACGACACAGAGTTTACATAAAAAGTTGGTCTTAATTTTTTCATCGTGTGTTCTGAAAAACCCAGAGGGACTTCTTTACATGGTCCTTTACACTTCAATAGCTAAATATAACACGATGGTACCTTAGAATTGAGATAAAGCCAAAAAGATTAAGGTGAAACTATCGTGTAAGTACCTCTGGATTTAAGTCATTGACTTTCTCGATGGCATCTTCCACTTGCCCACACTGCACAGCCTTTCGTACAGCCATGCGATCAGTAATGGTGCCAAGATCTATGTCTGCTGTTCCTCGCTAAGGAACTAGATCGGTCCAATATGTCAGAATTTCATTTAGAACGACAAAGATTTCAGTACTATGAACAATACCATCACACGTTTAGACGGACCAGATCATACTCATGCATATCTGGTTCGACCAAGACCAATCGTAACTCCTACACATCAACTACCACTAGCAGCATCTTGTCCCCAAAAGCAAATGCTTATGCTCTCCAAAAATGTCCAACTAGTTCGAAAATCGGCAAAGGAAAAGACAAGACAAGATACTCCCGACAAACCTCAACCAGCGATTATTATAAAGGTAATAAGATCAATGCAACATCTGCAGAGGATACGTTGAGTCCCAGACTCGTGCTGAAATTTCTCAGCTGCCTCGACATAGCCTTCAGTGACCAAAAAATTCATCACCAATCTGTTCATATCTTCTTTCCGAATTTTGACCTCACTAAGTTTTTTCTCCCATTCTTCTTTAGTGATCACTTTCTTTGAAGAGGACTGCATCACACCAGCATAGACAACACCCATTCAGTTGCAAGTACACAAATAGCTTCTATTGCTGGTCCTAAACTACTCCCTAGTCATACGTTAGATTCCGATGGGGATGTTCTGGAGAATACTAACAAGCACATACGACCAGCTACAACTATGGGCATACATGTACGCGTTAATTTCGGCTGTGCAACATCATTCTAGGTTCGTAACAATTGAAAACATTCTAATTAAATTTTCACCAACTTATGGATGATACAACCCTTTTAATAGGTGTAACACAACAAAAGTGCCGAACTCAAAACCCATGACTAGAAGGCCTTAGATATTTAAGATGAAGCAACGTTTAGAGTATGATAATTTCAAATCCTACTTCCAGCAACCGTATGAAAAAACATAAAGCTGATAGCAGAGAAAAATGGTATCACAAATAGCAAGAGGTAAACACGAGGAGGACCACCATGATGCGTATTTCGCAAAATTGACACAATTTTCACAACTATAAGCTATTGTTGCAGAAAACCTGCAAAGAAATAAATATGCCACAAAAATTCGAGGTTTCGTGTAGACATTGCATTTTGGGGTTATATGGAAAGACTTTGTGAAGAGACTTATTAAACAACTCCCGAAGAGGAAGTAAATAATTGGGAATCGTAACCCCGTGGTCCGAACTAGATATGACATTTTGCCAAGTATGACTAGTAATGGTCTCATACGTAACGATTGGCCTCAATTTGATCATTCAAAGACTAAAATAGCTGGTTAACATACAGTGACATCAACAAGATCACTTTCAAAAATAGCAGTCAACATAAAAATATCTAGATTGTATCAACCACATAGAATCACCCGCAGCAATAGCATCGTAGGATCAGCCCTATATATCTGCAACATTCTAGTGCTTCTAGTGAACATGATTGCGTAATGAAAAGATGCATGCCATCGACATACCCAACAGGGAAAGCAGAGGAAAGGGAAGGACGCAATACCTCGCCTTTTCCCATGGCTGGAAGCAGTGGCCCGAAAGGTGTTCCCCTTCTCCCCCTCCTAATTTCGCTTATGAAACTACCTACAACCGCAATTTCACTGTCTCGAAAGAGAAAACGGAGCGGACAGGCGATCAATGCGGTTAAGAGCTTCCCATCCACGAGAAATCCACAGCTAGGAAGAGATGCCACAAATTCGTATGCACAAAGACGAAGCTCCAAAAGATTGACGAAATCGGCAGTCGCCTCCGAAAAAGTATAGAGAAAAATTCACATGAACATGAAACCACTCCAAACAACGAAGTGCGTCACGCCACAGGAGAGTCGTGAAACCACCATATCTCCGACACAAGAAATAATTAGGTCAAAACTAACAGTAAAAGATACAATGCAATAAAATTAAAAATCAAATTTCCACGCTTAAGGACTTCAAATCCGTAAAGGACAGGAGAGTATCATAGTTGCGAGTAGGGAAAAAAACACACCATTGACGGTCTTCAAGGTTAGGGTCCGTCAAATCGCTAAACCAAAACGACACTTCAGACTACTTCAAAAACTACATCCAGTTACTAAAAAATCAGATGACCAAAAGAACTGACACGATTTCCTACACTTCTACCAGCAGCGATTGATAAAAATTCTGCAGGATGAGGAGAAAATCATCTAAGCTAGCTCGTGTCGTGAAGGACCTACAATTCACCAAATGAAGCCAGGAGCGGCTCAATAAAACCGGAATTTCAAGAGTCAGAGGAAGAGAAGGGTGAATGGAAAGTCAGATGCAAATGAAGGGAAAGAGGTGTGAAAATGAAGGGAAAGAGGTGTGCAAATGAATACAGGGCAGGATGGCCTCGGAACCGAGCACATGAACAACAACAACAAAAGAAACAGAGCACCTCCTCGTTCCTACACAACAACAACAACAACTACAACCAAAAGATATGCGGCACGCAACCGAACAGTAGCTTCCGCGCGGGCCGGGCCATCCGCGATACGGATCCCGGTTTTGCTAAATCACGGGTCACAGTTCCACAGTGAAACTGGTGACATGAGCCAGGGCTGCCAACTCTCTCGAGTGTGATTTGGTGCCCATTCTCATCAGATTTGTCTTGTCCACGTGCAGTCTAATAATAATAATAATAATACGGAGGAGTAATTATACTTAGGGTGTGAGGTTTTTCTTCTTATTTATTTATATATATGTATAAATATAAAGGAAATTGTTAAATTGACTTGCACATTTCTAAATCAATTCATCCATCTTTATGCATAAGCACATAACTTCTTGAGCTCTTCTTTTTAGTAGTGGATAATATTTTGATGATGGTTAGGATAGAAGGGTTGATTTAATAAATATCTTTGTCAATTTAAAAATCTCCTATATATATATATATAGATATAATATTTCCTTTTTAAAAAAAATATTAGAATTAATAAAAAGATCAATATATTTATAATATATATATATATATAAGAATTTAATTTTTTTTTTATTATTTTATGGCTTTCTTGATTTATTTCAAGGTTTAGATTGAATGCCTTTTTAAATCCTAAGCAATAACATGAATACTTGTTGCAATTGATTAGATATATTTTTTAAAACATTTTATGGATACCTTTTTAAATTAAAGTTGAAACCAAACCTCAAGGCATAAATCTTCATATCTATAGCTGTTTGAGATTTTTTTCTTATTTTTTGGAGTACAAGGTTACATGAAAAAAAATTGTAATATATATTCTTTTTTTAAAAAATACTCCAAGTAACTTGTTGGAGATTCTTAATCAAGAAATTTTCTCAAATTACAATTCTACTTACATGCTTGACTTGTAAAGACAAACTTGAGTGGAATAAAAAAGTAGAAGCATCATTTTAGGATTTGAGGTTAATTTTTGCTTTTGCATCAATCTCATGTTGCATTAACTTCTTCAAGGTATTGTTTTTGAAAATAGATGCATTAAATTTTGCTTTAAGTGCAATGTTTTTATAAATAGAAGCAAATAACAAACTTCACTTAATAGCTTTTTATTTAAGAATTTTTTTTCTATTTGATATCAATTATAAGATTTACAATAAAGAAATTCTTGCAATTGTAGATTCATTTCTAGAATGACACCATTATCTAAAGGATACTTTAAGTCTAATCATTATATATACAGATCACATGAATTTTAAGTATTTCAGATCATTATGTATTTTGAATTGTTATTAAGATCATTGGAGTATGTTTTTGTGGAGATTTGAATTAAAAATCACTTATTCACTAGAAAAATAATAATATTTATCAAACGCCTTTTCTAGGCATTTTTATCTTACATCAGAAAAAAAAAATATAGCTTTTGATTTAAAAAAAATCTTTTGAAGCTAGAGCAATTTTATTTTCAAACAATAAAATCAACATTATCTATTGATTCAACTTTTTTTAAACATGTTCAAATAAGTATGTCTTTAGATCTTCTTATTTATGATATTAAGAATAATCTATCTAAATTTAATAATACCTCAAAATTTCAATTTAAAAATGGTTTGTTCTATTTTAAAGCATGCTTATATATTCAAGAAGGTGAAGCATAATTATGTATCAACGACATGAATCACAAAAAACTAAAAGATCAATACATTCTTGTATCACTAAAAAAAAGTAGATAATCACTCAAAGATGATATAATATTGAATTAAAATAATTATTATTAAAGATAAGAAGATCAAAGGTTCTTGAAACAAGTCTAAGAGTAGAAAGGCATTGATAAGAATAAAAAAGGATTTATTTTTGCCACCATATATCCTATCTATGTGCTATGTTGCAATGTTTTATAGGTCCTTTGATATATGTCTAACTTGTAAGACACATGTTTAACTTATAATATAAGTTTTCCATATGAGTGCCATATTGCTAACTTGTATCACACATTTTTAATAATGTGCAATATGTGTCTAACTTATTAGCCAAGTTTTTAATCTACCAATCAACTACAAACACATCTAAAGTCATATCCACGTTAATGCAACTTTTAAAAAGCTTCTCTTTAAGATATTATCATATCTAACTTCATTTATCTTCTATCTAATACTTCTTATCTAAATAATTTATATATGTTTGTCACATTATTCTTCCTTTTAGGGATGGGTTCCATGAAAAGTGGTGATCACATTTTGATTTTTGATTTTAATTTTGATGGATATTGTAAATAAAAAGCATCAACCTTCTTTGCCACATTTAAAATATTCTTTTTAAGTTCACATGTGTATTTACTAATATCATATCTATACTAATATATAAGATATTTTAATTTATTTTTGTCCACCTTAAATTTAAGACTTCTTTGACCTTAAATTCTTAATTATTATCCATTTCTATAAAATAAAGTGGAATTTGTCTTTTTCTTGGTATATCTATTGTCTTATATAGTATAAAAAAAAGATACATAAAACAGAAGATTGATCTTCATAGATTTTAATAGGTATAATTATTAAGTAATTGGATTGATCTATTTACAAATTAAAAATGGTTTTAATCTATGATAATTCGATTTTTTGTAATAACAATTAATCTTAATATTACAATAAAATAACCAAACTTTATTACCTATGTCAAATTAAAATTATTCCATATAATAGATATCTGCATTGATTTTTTATTTATTTTTATTTTAGAGTTTTTTCTTAATTGTACCTTTAGTATTGCATTTAGCTATAAAAATGATTTGCCAAATATTTTGATATAAAATCATCAAATTTTAAGAAGTAAAAAATATTAAATATTAAATTATAATTATAATAAAAAATTAAATTAAAAAATATATTAAATTATTATAAGAAAATTTTGTCAATGACAAAGTAGTTATCTAATAATCTTGATGGTATTGATGGTACACCTCAAATATTGTTCAAAAACTTGATTCACTTATTTTATTTGTCTATCAGTTTGAGAATGGATAATCAAAGATAATTTTAGTTATACTTTTAATATCATAAAAGGATTCTCCAAAACCTTAATAATAATTGAATCTCTCTATCTGATATAATATCTTTTAGTAATCCATAAAAGCGGTAAATATTTTCAAAAAAAATAATACTTATAATAAATTTTATATATGATATAAAATATGCCATCTTGGTGAAATAATCTACTATCATAAATATATAAGATTAAAAGGTCTATAATAAAATTCATAGAAATAAAAGACCATAATTCTTTTGATATTGATAATGGTTGAAAAAGTCTATAAGGTTGATAATAAAGAATTTTTTATCTCGAATAAATGTTATATGATTGTACAAAGTCTTTAATTGTCTTTCAAATTTGAGGCCATTAAAAATCTCTTGATATTAGCTCCAAAGTCTTCTTGTATCCATAATATCCTACAATTAAAAAGTCATGACACGCTTGAAAAACTTATAATTATGAATCATCTTCTGAAATATATAAGTATTTCTCAAAATAAAGTAAATTAATTTTGAATTTAAGCTTTGAGGTATAAAAAATTACAAATTTTTTTTTATCATAGATCTTATAATTAATTTTAATTGTCAAAAATTTTCTTGAATAAAAAGCTACTAGATGAAGTTTGTCATCTGCTTCTAATTGTGACAATATCATATATAAAGCAAAATCTTATTTTTTTTATTTCTATTAAAAAATACCTTGAAAAAATTAATGCAAAATATAATTGATATAGAAATAAAAATTGTTTTCCAAGCTTCAAATTATATTTTAGCTTTTTCATTCTATTCAAGTTTGGCTTTACAATTCAAATGTGTAAATAGAACTAAAACTTGAAAAAAATTCTTAATAAATATAAAAAAATAATTGATAAATTTCAAAAAATAATTGATAAATTTCAAAAAATATTTTACATTTCATACTATTTTTTTAGTAATGTTCTATAGGACTTCTAATACGTATTTAATTTGTAAGACACATGTCTTAACTTGCAAGGCAAGTTTCTTATATGTCCACCACATCATTAACTTATACTACAAACTATCAATATATGAAACATTTGGCTAATTTGTTGGTCAAGTTTCTAATCTATTAATTACCTATAGACATGTATAAAGATGACATCACATCTATTAAGCTTCTAAGAAGTTTTTTAAGAAGATATTATAAAATTAATCTATTTATATTTATTTTTATATATTTAAATTACCTAGATAAATATTAAAAATATATATATGTTTGTGACATTATCTCTTTTTTTAGAAATAAGTTCTATAAAGAATAGTAATCACATATTGATGAAGTCTAAGATGTGAGAAAATTCTATTTCTCACATATTTAGATTATTATTTCTTTAGAAGATAGTTGATAGGTTGTCTTAGCCATCAATAGTATTCTATTTCAAAAAAAGAAGACCACTTTATTATTTGATTATTATTGAGGCTTTTATAACTTTTTTCAAACAAAACATTTATTATACTATGAAGAGTTGTTTCTACCTCCAATAATATCACTGAACATTAGGAGTCTCTTTCAAGGTTATAATATCAAATGAGTTGTATCTTGCTATTTATTTAAAGAAAAATATGTCATTTTTGAAGGTCTTCATCTCAATTCTGTTGTCTTGAAGGCTATGACAATTGTAATGTCTTATCTAATTAGTCAACAAATGATGGCTCTTAAATTAAAATTTTTGGTTGTAGATTCTTCATCTCATTGGTGTCACAAAATACAAAGAATTTAAAATAAAGGATAGAATATAGAATGCAATCTCTATTAAACATCCTTTTTTTTATAATAAAAAATTACTAGACTTTTTATTTTGATTTTGATTGATGTCATTGATGAAAAGTTTTAATCTTTTCTATTATATTTGCAAGATTTTTTGATGGCTTCTATATGTGTTCATTAATATCATATCTATACCAATTAACAAGATTTTTTAATTTATTTTGGTACCACCTTAAGTCTAAGACTTCTTTTAC